TCTCGTAATGTTACCGCTTTATTCTCGTAATTTTACAGCTTTATTCTCGTAATGTTACCGCTTTATTCTCGTAATGTTACCGCTTTATTCTCGTAATTTTACAGCTTTATTCTTGTAATGTTACCGCTTTATTCTCGTAATGTTACCGCTTTATTCTCGTAATTTTATGGCTTTATTCTCGTAATGTTAAGGTTTATTCTCGTAATGTTACAACTTTATGTTAAGGCTTTATTTTCAAAATTGAAAAAAGAAATTAAATAAAATCTGTAGCCTAGCCCTATGCTAGGCTACAGATTTTTAAGTTCAATTAGAGCCATTATTTGTATCAATTCTGATACATTAGGCATTTCCATACAATCTTTTATACGTTTTCTGTTTACTTCATGTGTCTGATTGTGTTATGTTAGGGTTTTCAAGAAAAAAAAAAAACATCACAACTATGATGCAGAGGTCAATAGAACTCATGTATCAAATATGACATTATAATAGGACAGTGTTTGAAAAATGATCCTCAATTATTCTGTCATTTTAGAAAGTGGAAATAATCGTAATGGGGTTAAAACAAGTAACGTTGATTCTAATTGTATATCTGATGAGGTTTCCTTAAACAGTGTCCATAATCTTCTGGTTTCCAAGCTCAACATCCTTTTCAAAGATCTAAACCTGACCTAGAAGCTTTAACAGGGTTTTGGTGTAATAAACTAAAGAAAAGTTGTGAGGGACCATGTTGGAGACCAAAGCCAGACTTTGATTAGTTCCACAAACTATTTAAGCAATACTCAATACTTTTTTGGAGGCTGTTCTATTTATCAGCGATGATGAGATGAGTGAAAAGCTTCTCTCTGTGTTTTCCTGTCCGTTTGACGTCCAGTTCTCGGACCGCTGCAGTCTGTGGTGCAGGACCTGCAGTCTGAGGACAACGATGACGACTCGGAGGACGTCGATGACAATGACTCCGACACGGAGCGGCCGGCACAGACGCGGCTCCCGCACCACCAGCGCAGGTTAGTAACAAGTGCATTCAACAAAAAGTCGACTCAGAGAAGCGGAGTTGCAACTGGACTAAGATTACTTCCATCCCCCATCCTCCACCTGCTGGGTGTGGCCTAAATTCTCTTTCTCACTGAAGATAGCAGGTTAACGTGTTTTTTTCCAACATCGGTCGACCCGCTAACTATCAGCATTGGTTCCCTTACCCGTCTAACCCCTCGCTGGCAGCTGCATGGTCTCTGCCCCCACGCCGCTGCGTGTCTGGTGACGCATTGCTGATGTCAACAGTGGGACAGATATCAGGGACGTAAACAATGGAGAGGAACATGGAAGGAAGCCAGGGCGTAGTCAGTGTGCTTTATTGTTTCTCCCTATTATCTGTCTGAATCCCTCTGACCAGAGCTGCTCCGTGTTTATTGAATGTAAACGGAGTTGTTTCTGCTTGTTAAATCAGAAGCGACTAGCGCTGTGTGTTGACGTCCGTACGCTGCGTTCAATTGTATCTCGGAAATTAG